TGCCCCAAACCCAGAGCGAGTTTATGAAAATGAAATTTTTTGTGCCATGCGGGATTACAGTTAAAACGCTCTGCTCCGCTTGGTGTTGACATCCTGTGATTTTGCCACTGGACGGCTGGAGTGTGAAGATGATAGTGAAGATGAAGGAGGCCGCTGTTTAGAGGGGTGAAGTCTTGTCCTTAAGGGTTTTTTTCCTTTATATATTTTTAATTATTTTATTTATATATTTATTTTTAAAAATTAATAAACAAGGGCGAGTCAGATTTGGGCAAGTTTTTACAATGCGAACCTGAACCTGCCTCATCCTGGTTGAACAAATTAAGAAACTCACACCAACCCATCCAGGTGCAGTTCGGTTTCAGTTAAAACCACAACAGCCTCTATTAAGATGGACAGTTTTGGCATGTCTCAAATTTTTTTGCCATTACTAAGGCAGAGGGCTAACAAGGGTAGTTTCTATAGAACACTTCTTTTGATTTGTAGAGAAGAGGATTTTCTTTTCTGACAGGATGTGGGAAGCAGCCAACTGTTTTTATACCTACTGATGCTAAGAAACTGCTACACCACAATTATATCTACTATGTGAACTTGTTTAATCATGAATTGGGCAAAAACAACAGAAGTTCCTCCATTGTAGACAATCTGTTAGGAAAAATGACCTGTTCAATTGATGAAACATAGATACTATTTCTACGAAGTACAAAGCACTTTGTCATAGATTTAACCCTATGCGGGAAAGAGACTTCAAATCTTCATTCTTTTAGATTTGGGACAAATAAATATGACACTTTAAAGCATAAACACTGTCTCAATCATAGACTGCTATATTCAAATCGAAGTTAAAAAGACCTCAATCATTCAGTCTCATCTGATGAGCTATTTTTTTCTCGGAAACTGCCACATCTCTACATCAGATGTATCTTCTTTTACCCGCACTGATAAGTGAAATGATTGCTCAACTGCTAGATGAGCGTTCAGGTGAATACTAGGTGATTGATACATGTGAATGTGCAGACTGCAAAGTCAGTAAACTTTTAGGAAGTTTACTGGAATTCTTCCCTTTATTACCAATGTTTGATAAAGTGGCAAGGGCCAATTAAGAAAGAACCTTTTGATATCGAGATTAGAAGAAACTCTACTTTTCCCAAAGATACATTCTGCTTACATTTCTCTTGCCATAATTGGTTATTTAATACACTTCTTAGATCAAGGTCTGATCATAAAACTATCAGCTTAAGAAATAGGTAACTCCCACTGACTGAAGAAACTATCTCTTGCACCAAGGAACAAATAGACTGCAAAAGCAAGGGAAGTAAACTAATAGTAAATTCACATTTTTAGAAAATTAATTAGCACTTCTTTCTCTTTCTTCAACGTGCGAACCTCTTATAAAGCAGCCCCTAGAAACAGATATATAAGGCTGCTGGGGGTCCTCATTAGTCAGACTACTGTTTCTTCTCAACATGAAGTTTCACAAAATCATGGATCATATTAACTTAGAATACTTCAATTGATTATATATCAGATGAGAACTCTGCAAAGGAAGAAGCTAGAAGGAACATGCAAGATAGCAGCATAGGTTACTCGAATGCAGATACAGTCATTAAGCTCCAGGGTAGGAGTGCTGACAATGCCAAAAGTGTGGCCCAGGCATCCTTAAGTGCCCTCAAACAGTTAATTCTGTCAGACAAGAACTTCCAGGTACTCATCCATCATATCATCACATTCATCCTTTTTCTTTATATATTCCATTGTCTCCATCCATGAAAATTAGGATATTTCCTCTATGTCTGCATTTGAGAACAGGCTCTAACATGTTAGCAACAAAAGTGGCTTTGTAACTTAATCCAGAAACCTTATTATCCAAACAATTATCTTTATGAGCAACAGAAAAAGAACTTTCATATGGGAAAGAATTTTTAACCCAAGATGCTCTAACAAAGGTGGATTTCAGATTTGCCCCATTAATTGGCTTTCTCCCTGTTTTGGCTTGAAGGAAAGAAGAGCCTCTACATCAGATTGGGATGTCGTGGTGATTGGCCAAACATCAAGCCTCCTGGGTGGGATCCCTCTGCTGAAACTGCTGCTTCACCTGGTATTTTGTAGCAATTGTTATCATTCATAGACAGTCTGAATTAACTTCGATTTTATTTTTTTTTTTACTAAGGAGAGAACTAATTTAGAAATTGGTGATTATGTTCTTTCAAGTTCAAATGTATTCTTTGACACGCTTCTTAAACTGCACGTTACAACTTTTGTGAAAAAGAGCTTTGTTGCAAGCCAATATGGAGGTAGACAGGTAGTAAATGAAATCACTAGGCAACCCACAGGCGAGCAAAATGAAAAACACTATATTATCCTTGTTTCAAATATCATGGCCATCCTATAAACAGGTTGCATGAAAACAATGTTTATGATTCGGCAGCCACTTAAGCACTTATCTGCACTAAATTAATGCCAATTTCTGCTCTCTTTTTTCTGAAACAAAAGTGTGAGGTTTGTATATTAATGAGGTACTAAGGGAGTACCGCTCATATACAAAAGAAATTTTACATTGTCAATTAATATATGTACAATGTACCTAAAATCATCTATACAATTAAAGTTGTGCCCTAAAATATCATAGTCAAAATAGTGAAACCAATTGTCCTTGATGGTATTAAAGTATGCCGATTTCTACTCTATACATCTCATATAATCATAAGATTCCGTTAGTTAAGAATTTTGGTTAAACTTAGTTTAAAACTTTAATATGTACAACTACAATATAGTTCTTTATGTTTGTACTTCCTCTTAAAATTTCCAATTCCTACAAACATTAAACCATATTTTAATATGAATATGACCAATAGGAATTAGTTATAAATGGAATGGGAATTGAACCAGACAAACTTTAAATGGCATCTTGATTATCTCTAAATAATCATGCATATGTTCCTCTATCTTACGTTTACAAAAGAATGTTCCTGTAATCTTTAGGGAAGTAGTCATGCTCATTCGTGGACAATTACGTATGTATGTGTCCAGAAAATACAATTGATGAAAGTAATTGTAAAATTTGTTGGATCATTTATAGTTTCAACTAAAAAACTGTAGGATTGAAATAGCATATAAATATATGGCATCTTTGAAGAATACTTATATGTTAAATAGATTTCAAATCTTTTCAAATTCTATTCTTATAGCATATACTATATATGTCGGTCAATCTGAAAAATACTGATATTATATGATTTTATTTAATACAACGTACACACATTCCAAGCGTTCACATGATATGGAACAAATAAATGAACTTCACAAGTCCCTCCTCATACCTCAACACCTTTCATCCACACCCATGACACGTTTTCCAAACTCTCTCCTTGAAATTATTTGGTACGGGATGGCCATTTCTTGCCCTTAATTATCAAAACATGAGCAATTTACCCTGCGGTCTCTAGAAGCCATTCTTTTTACTTCTGATTTACCTACTAAAGTTCAAAATCCAGCCTATAAAACCTAGTTTCAATTGGATGCCTCATTCGTGGTTGTTAAAAGGCAGACATTCATTGGTCCTCATCGAAAAATGAGATTGCTTCGCACCGAAAGATCAGATTTGTTGAGGTGGTCTGAACCATTCGTCCTGCCTTTGATCAATACATCTTAAAACTTCGGTTAAACTTTGATTCTTGATTTATTCTGAGTCCATTTTGAATAAATGCTTTTTTGTTTGTGTGGTTCTTATTCTACGTTAATTTTGCTACAAAAATCTTTATGTAGTTTTATACTTAAACAAGTTATAAAAAGTTATTTTATATTGTTTTCAAATTTTCTTTACCTTAATTTTAAATGTTAAACAATCAAAAAAGAAAAAAAAAAGAATACATAGGAGGGATCATTTCCCTTTTTGTTTTAGTCGGGTTCTGATCTAAAGGTCTTTTTCCTGATCTTCGATCTAATTTGGACTGAATGAACATCCCCACTGATTGGCATCCTTTTTCTGCCCCACTGATTGGCATCCTTTTTCTCCAAAGGACTCTTCTGATACGTTCTGGACCTAAAATCCTCCCACAATATTTGGAATTTCTTGCCAAAGCTTTCAGTTCGGAGTCTTAAGATTGCCAATTCAGCTTCATATTGAACTGTTAGATAAAAGATACGATTTCTCATACCAATGGAAAGTAGAAAACTTTGCAGCTGGACTCTTAGCTAACGGTGGATCATTATCCCTTTGCTGGATTCAACGCTGATCATCTAACGCAATATTAGAAATTACATGGATCAAGGCCCTCAATATGCATCAAGAACCCACCATGAACTCCACGGACAACTTGCTTATGAAGATCATCCTTGAAGGTATTGTTGATCTTTTACTCTGACAACAAAGAAACTTCAAATTCAAAAACAAACGAATAATAATTTTATGTACCAGTGAGACCAAAATATTTTATTATATCATATGTTTGTGCATATATATATTAACTTTGGCTTGAACCACAGCCTGTATAATCATTTCATTTTATTAGACCCGGTTGAAAACATGAGCAATTGGCTCAATGATGTACTCCCTCAATGAAGCCAATCTCTACCTGTTACATGCTTACAGCCTCTCTAGCAAAACAAGAAAACCAAGTCCGTTGAGGAACTTTAATTCAAAACAGCAAATCTGGGCCAAATTCCACACTAACGAAACCATTGAAGCTCAGGCGAGGAGAGAAGAAAGAAAAAAAAAACAGCTGGATTGCTATGTTCTAATGAGCAACTAGCATAAAGGAGAACAATAGCATGTTTCTGAAATCCAAAAGCTAAAACCAGTTTCACCAACCAGCAAGTTCTCAATGAATCCTAACAGAAAATATTTAGCTAAATCCTGTATCAATTTTTATCAAATCTGCCCTCCACACTCCAGCAACATTATATTCACAACATTATGTCGACGCATTCTTAGAAAGCACGCACTTGATGGTGTCTTGGGTTATCCAAAAAGATGTGATTTTACCATCCATGGACACCACATAACCAGCAGATGTCTCACATTCAAAGCCCACCTGAACCTTCCACGTTATGCTTTGCTGTTTCCAATCCGTGCCTTGATGGTACCTGCAAAGTTAACATTTCAGTTAATGGCGAGTGCTTGTGGTATCTACAGAGAGTTGATATTTCGACATCAATTATTATCAATATTTCCATTATGGGCTTCAGAAAACAATTTCTAACTATATTTAGATATACCTTCGTGCCCAAGTAGTAGTTAAAAACAAGACCAAGACTACCAGGTCCTACCAATCATACCTTGCATTGAAGAGCAGTTATTGTAGACCTCAGTAATGCATCTCCGACAATCAATCTTAACTTCCTGACGAAATCATCCCGACTAATCTTTTTCTCCTGCAAAAATATGAAATAACAGGGACTCATTTCTTAAAGAAATTGAAATGAGATTGAATCATATAAAAAAGATTTACAAAAAGAAGAGGCAAACTTCTGTTCTGCAACTCAACATACCCTGAACAGTTCATAATTAGAGGAAATAAGCTCCATATCTTTGGGAGGAACCTTATTTGAGATAGCAGCAAACAACATAGGGAAAGGCATCCAAGGGGATTTAGGAGTCCTGGAAACACTAGAACCTACACTGGGAGCCTTTCCCTGACATCTCCCAGAATATGAGGTAGAACGATTACCACTCCCCTGAAAGATATGAAGATATGTTAGAAGAAAAAAATTCAAGGGAAAAGAATGAATCACAAGGAATCCTGCAAAACCAAACACTTAAGTATGAACATGTGACCTTAATAACAGTCACGATGCTTAAACCAGCAAAACATTTGCAAATTACTTGCGATGGCTTTTTACACTCCCAAAATAACTTGCACCTTTTGATTCACATTTTCCCTCAAACAACAGCAAGTCAGAGATTTTTGGATGTTAATCAGTCTAGGTACAGTTTGTAGCTTGCTTCCATAAACAACAAAATTTCCGTTCATTTCTACTGTTAGCATCTATAATATGAAACATGAGTAAACATGAATTATAAGGCAGATGACTCACCAAATCAACTGCAGATGACTTCAAAAGCAAATGGGCGTGAGACTGTGGAGAAGCAGTGGTGACCCCTGAAACATCAAGCTTCATCTCACCTCCAACCCGATTCTCTGTACAAATAATACAAGGCACTTATGCTAAAGGACTAGAAACATCCAAAAGGAAATTCTTAAATCCATACAGTATTTGCAGAAGACCTGGCCAACTAACTCATTGGACCAGTAGTTGAAGTGAAGACTCATCTCTTTGTATGTAAAAGAGCTCAACCAAGAAGAGATATCTATGCATCAGGCCTGGGTCCTTTTTTTTTTACAAGTAAAAACTTTTTAACCTTTCCAATTCATGTTTGCAATGGAGATTGGGCAGTCAGGGTTTGCTAAGCCAATTGCTGATCAATAGTTATTTGCCATGTAGCATACAAGACAATACCAATTGATTGAGCCCACATAAAAATAACTGAAGCTCAATGAGATAACAAAATAGAAACTTGAACGTAAGAAAGGAGTTATGTATCACCTTCAGCACTTGAAGAGAGCTTGAAACTAACAACAAACTCTGGGTAAACATGTGTGTTCATATTCATGTTCCAGACAATGTACTGCTTTGGATTTTCAAGATCATCAACTCCACTATCAAAGTCTTCACAACTAGGATGGAATTGTCCAGGAGAAAAAACCTCCATGTTTCCCATTATAACACGGCAAAACACCATGTATCGTACACCATTTTCGTCAACATCACAATAATTTGCACTGTATAGAATTAAAAAAATAAAAACAAAAGATGAACCCTTATCTACATGATACCATTATGGACAACTACAGAGATGAATATAGTAAGAATTCTAAACAACCTCTTCAATGAATATATGTAGGAAGCGCTGAACAAAGTAAGCAATAGAAAACCTCATATTCCCAAAAAAAGGACCTTGAGTGAGAAAAAATCACAGAACCAAACAGAAACCAGCATTTTAAATATTTTTTTAGTACAAGGAGGAAGCAGGCATTAAAACATAACTAGGGGATGCCACCCAAATATAATAGATTTGTAAATGCCCACTGAGTTCCCCAAATCCACAACATCAAGAATAGAAGCATTGAACACATCTCTAATCTTTATACTTCTTAACGTGCATTGAACAAAGGACCAAAAGCTTTTCTTGTACGTCTTAATGAACCAGATAAAAACTTCAAATAAGCTCAGTCATACAGGTTTTAAATGCCCTATCATGATTCATGATTAACCTTGATCCAGATCAAAGTTAAGTAGCAGCCACAATTTAAAATGGCAAGATAGGCAAAAGTTCAAAAACATCAAGAAGAACCAAGTTCAACCTAAAGGATTGATGCTCTCATGGTATTTGAAGTGTTTGCAAATGACCAAGAGGAGAACACTAATGACCAAATAAAAACTATATAACAAGACAGTGATGGAAGAAAATAGGTTCCTTTGGGGAGATGTGCAAGATAGAAGAAAATATCATCTAGTTACATGGAATGAACTTAAGAAGCCACTACCCTTTGGTAATTTGGGTTTACGTTCTTTGGTGGAAAGAAACAAGGTACTACAATGTAAGTGGTTATTGAGGTTTATGAGTGAGGAGGGAGCTTACTAGAGAAGGATCATTGCAGCGAAATTCTATACCTAGGAGTGTGGTTGGTTTACGAGAATGACATAAAGATCCTATGGTAAAAGTTGGAACAAAAAAACAGGGGCAGGACGGAAAAAGTTTCAGACATGCATTAGAAGAAAGGTCGATAGGTGGGGATAGATTCAGATTTTCAGAAGATCAGTGGATAGGAGGCACCCTCACGGATCATTTTTTTTTTTTTCTTGAAATAAACCCCCGCAAATGTGGTATTATAAACATAGTACCAAAAGGGGTGCCGCTCATGTACAGTAAATTTACATTCTAGTAAGAGTATCAATGACAATCCCAAAATCTACTCCACTCATCATGTCACGCTCCAATAACATATTCCCAAAAAAATGAAACCACCTATCTCTCAATCTATTCACCAAATTCTCCTTTCCCTCAAAAACTCTAAAGTTTCTTTCTTTCTAGATGATCCACATCATCATGAGAGGAATCAAATTGTTACACCCATTTTCAAGTCTGAGCCCACTCCATGCCCATAATTCTTCTTTGACTGTACCAGCCACTACCCAATTTAGCCCCAGAAGCCCATACACCATGCTCGACAGTTCAT